CCCCCAGAGGTCTCGACCCATCACCCCGGACCGGCTTTCCACCCCGAACCCTCTTCGGACGGCCCCGAGGCCCGGCATGTGCCCCCCCAGAGGCCAAACCAAACGTAGCGAAGCCCTTCTGTCCTTCGGCGGCGAGCGACGGGGGGGCAGCGAGCAGGAGGAGGTCCTCTCAGAAGGCGGCGGGGCTTCTCAGAAACCCTCGCGCCTTCTGAGCACGCCTTCTGAGCATTTTTCCGTGTCCTCGGGGAAGGCTCGGCGAACTTCTCAGAAGGCCGGGGGACTCCCGAGCCTTCCGAGAAGGCCCGCCCGTCCCTTCTCGCTTCCCCCCCTCGCTCGCCGCCCAGTCCTGTTTTTCCCAACCGTCCTGTGCTGTTGGGTCCTCGTTTTGAAGAGACGGTCCCCGCGTTTCTCCCGCCTCCTTCCTCCCTCCCTCCCTCCCCTCCTCCCTCTTCCCTGCGTTTCACCCACCCAGTACAGCGTTTCGTGGCCTCGAAGGGAGCTCCACCGAAGGTCCCAGTGGGACCGCCCGCATGCGTCAACCACCACCCAGCGCAGCCCTTTTTCCCTGCGTTTCACCCACCAAGCACAGCGTTTCGTGGCCCCATTGGGGGCTCCACCGAAGGTCCCAGTGGCAACGCCCGCACGCGTCAGCCACCACCCAGCACAGCGTTTCGTGGCCCCATTGGGGGCTCCACCGAATGCCCCAGTGGCACCGCCCGCATGCGTCAGCTACCACCCAGCACAGCGTGTCGTGGTCCCATAGGGCACGCTCTGGAGCCGGTCATCGGGCGCGAGGCACCACCGATGCGCGGCCTTCCGCACGCAGCCAGCAGTGGCCACGCGGCCCCGCCCTGTTGCCTCTCTGCAGGCCCTGTCCTGCAGGCTTCTGCCCGCGCCCTCTGCTACTTCAGGGCCGACGCCCCCACCAGCAGTGGCGACCACCTGCAAGGCCTACAGTGCCGTTTTTAATACATGCTCCGCGTGCGGATCATGTAGTAGAAATGCAGGGATTTAGTATTAAAAGCAACGACGAGCTCATGCATACATTTATTCATAAATTCATCATGTATGGAAACATCAATATTTTCTAAAATCCTATGTATTGAAAACTGCCCTGTACCTGCTTCCCACGAGCCGGGCCATCGCTCCGGCCGCTCGGTACGAGCAGCCTAGGCAGCAGCGCTTCCCTCCGCGGGTGCCAGCGGGCCGAGAGGGGACGCCGGGTGCGCCGCTCGAGGTGTCGACCGAGGAGGCGCAAGGGCGGCCTCCTCCTCCTCCTGCTCCTCCTCCTGCCCTCCTCCTCGATCCTTCTCCCCCTCGATCCTCCCCCTCGATCCTCCTCCTCCTCCTCCTCCTCCTCCTCCTCGATCCTCCTCCTCCTCCTCCTCCTCCTCGATCCTCATCATCCTCCTCCGGGAGATCCGACGGCGCGAAAGAGCTGATACATCGCTAGCCAACGCGACTGGAGCCCTGGGCCCCATCTTGCTGCACCGCTGTTCGAGCCGCATCGATCCGTGAGGGCTCCGTGGCCCGAAGTCGGGCGAAGTTCCCCAGTTCGAAACGATTGAGACGCCACTGGGCATCGTTCGGACGCGTGCGTGGTTCTCCTCGGCGAGGACCATCGGGGAGCATCTCGCACCATCTTTTGTGAAAAGCAGGCGCGCGAACTCGAACCATGCACGGGGAACGGACGTCTGAGCGATGGCGACGCTGGCGTCGAGCATCTGATTAAGAAGCCTCCTCCCGATAAGCTGGGACAGCGTTTCTTCACCAACTTGCCAGCAAGCTGGTCCAGTTTCTTGAGCGCGTTCGTCCCTCCAGCGTCAACACGAGCACTTGACCCAGGGTTGTTTACATGAGCTTTCTGGCGAGCTGGCCCAGGCTTCTCCAACGATTGTTTCCTTGATCATACAGTTGGCCCGTATCATAAGGATGCGCGATATGGATGTAAGGGCCTCGGACGCCCATTTCGAAGCTCTTCGAGCGGGGCGCGGCCAACGAAAGTGGCCCAGGCTGGACCGAGGAGGCAAGGCTGCAAGGGTACCCTTGGGAAGGCTGCCCATCCTTGCTAGGCGGCTTGACTGTCTTTGCGACAGTAGGATTGAGTCGGGCCTGTCACTCTACACGGGGAACATTCAAAAATAGTTTTGAAAATCGTCTGGGGACTATTTTTGGAGTGTTTTTGGCATCTGCTGAGCATTTTCGGAGCATCCTTCATTTTTCGTCCACAATCCCCCTGTTTACCAGCCTCGAACGTACCCCTATCCCTAAGATTGACACGCCAAAAGGCGATGACAATCTTAGGGATTCGCCCTCAAAAATAAGGGAATCCCTAAGACTGGCATCGTGATGAGGAGGTGCCCAGCATAGGGATAGGGATATGTTCCAGGCTGGTAACCTGTAGGGGGACAGGCCACGCTCGCAGGGCCCGGTAAGGGCCCCCGGAGGCGAGCAGGGTGTTTCTTGGCATGGGTCTCCGCTCGATGGACAAACCTCCCTT